TATGCGCGAACAGGTGCAGATATTTATTTTTAATTTTTCAAAATGTCAAAATTTTTCAAGTTTGAGATCAATTATTTCCCGTCTGCCATTAATTTATATTAAATAAGTTGCTAACAAAAACTTAAGTTTTGATTGGCAGAAATTGTAGACTGGTACAAGTCCTAATAAACAATGAACAAAATTGCGACAAAATGTGATGAACGTTTTCAACCCATCTGCCATTTGGTTAAGTGAAATGTAGTTATGAGAATATGCATAGTTCCAATGTGGCAGAAACCGCAATAAGTTACATAAGTTGTACATATGGTTGTTCAATTGCAATTTTCTCCCGTCTGTCAACTTAATTGAGTAGAGTTACTTTCAAAATAACTGGATACCTATCAAAGGGCAAAATGAATGCTTATGTACAAATGTTTGAAATCTCACATAAAAGTTATAATTTTTTTTCAATGCCTATCACACATATAGGTTTTCCTGATGAGGATGAAAGTGAAGAAGAAATTAATGAACACGAAGATTTTGGCGATTCATCAGATTTGGATGACGGCAATAATGATGATGATAATGGAAAAGGTGACATCAGTTGTGATGGAAGTCACTCCAAAGTGATAGATCACAATGAAAACGATAATGATGATGCTGATGACAATTATGACGATGCTGTTTTTGATAATGTTGATGATTAAAACATTTTTTTTCCCAAAGATACAATTTTTTATTGTTCTGCCTTATCATATGTAGGTGTCTTGAGAGCAACATTAATTTCAATTAACCGGTTGTCAGACGGGAGAAAATTGTTTGGCCACATTTTCGCAATTTAACAATAATTGTGCAACATATGTAGCTCATTGCGGTTTCTGTCATATTGAGAACTAGCTGACCCGGCGAACTTCGTACCGCCTCTGAATTATTAAATACCTATTAAATGTTGTGTGAACGTATCTATTAGCTGAATTAAATTCAGTTTTTTTCGATTGTGAATTTGGCTTTGGTTGAAAAAAATTAATGTTTACTCTCTGGATCAGAAGTCACCTAAAATTAAAATTTTACATCATCCCTTTTTAGGCAGCTTGTGGGCATTATTCTTGTAAAGTGTACCATCAAATAAGTAAACTCAGGCACAGGAATGTTCAAAGAATGTAAAGAAAACAAAAAAATCTCCAGCGCAACCCTGTTTCACTCTATCTGCACTGCACTACTCCATCTGTTCTACTCTATCTGCACTATTCTATCTGATCTACTCTTTCTGCGCCACTCTATCTGATCGGAATAGTGGAATAGTTCTGTTCGGAATAGCTCCAGTTCCTGAGTAGCATTGTTCTACTGTATCTGCAATGAAATTACCGCGCAATGGCGAGCTTCGTTCTAGGTATCAGAGATAGCGCCGTATACAAAATGGTCAAAATGGTTTGCAATGAAAATGTGGCGGTAAACTTGGTATCGGTTATAAGAGATGGCGCCGTATGCGGGCTTAGTGAATTTTTTTCATAAATAAGTAAAATAGGTAATTTTCTTTTTTGTCTTTTTTTTTGGATTTTTTCGATTTAATATGTTAGTATGGACAAAGACAAATCCAATAAAGCAAAAATCATAAAAATCAGTCCAGCTGTTCTCGAGTTATAAGTGCTAGAACCAACACAACTGTGTTTTATATATATATAGATAATAATGATAACAAAATGATCCTCCATTTATTGAATGATTCATTTATTACAAAAAATGTGATAAATGAAGAACCGCTCGACCGATTTTGTGCAAACTTCACATAAACCATCTAATAAATAGTCCGAACAAAGCCTAAACATTTGGTTTGGCTAGGTGAGCCCGTTCTTGAGTTATAAAATTACAACGAAAAGTGGCATTCATTTTTATATATATAGATATGCATATTCTCATAACTACATTTCACTGAAACAAACGGCAGACGGGTTAAAAACGTTCATGATATGAACAATTTTTGTTCCAATTTTGTTAATCAATTATAAGAACTTGTATCAGCCTGCAATTTCTGCCAATCGAAATTTAACACGTTCGCTGCCAGAGAGATTTCAGTTGATCGGGTCCAAAATGCCAATGATGAAAAACTTTATTTTATAATCGGAATAGGTCTAAAGAACATAAAATATTTATCCAAATTAGTACCTGACACATATTTTTGCAAAAAAATACCCTCCGAGTTATCTCATACTTGGCGCCTGTATATGAAAATTTATATCCATGTGCCAATTACGAGTTAACTCGTGAGATCAGGCGAAAATACAAAAATACGACTAGATCAGATCAGATCAGAAAATACGACGTGAAAGCCGCTATTTCTGCGCAATTTGTGAGGAAAAACCTGCATTACTATGTGTTGATGGTTGCTTCAAAGACTACCATGTTTGACAAAATTGATTCTTTTTTGTCTTGTTCTCTAATGTTTTTTTATGGATACAAATCTTTTACTAACCATGTCTGTGTGAAAGTCTTATACATGTCCCGTAGGCCAGGCACCCCCATTAGCCTGTATTTACAACGAATATACTCGTACTTGACTTTGAAAGACACGATGCAAAATACGAGTTATCTCGTAGCTGGCACCTGTAATAAGATTGTCTACTACAAGTTAACTCGTAGTTGGCAGTGAACGTGTTAAGCTTTTAGTAGTAGCTAATTTAATATAAATTACTGGCAGACGAGAAAAAATTGATCTCAACTTTGAAATTTTTTTATTGTTTCTGCCAATTGTTAATATACCTTGGATACATCTGCCAATACATTTCTTGGAGTTTACTTTGCATGTTAAACTTATCTTCCAAATGGCAGATGGGAGAAAATTGTTTAAACATCTCGGCATTTCGATACAACATCAAAAATTGTTAAATATTATTTTAGCAACCGAGATTTTCTGCCATTTCCTTATTGTTCTCTAAATCGTAATTGCAACATAAATTTAATTTGGCAGACGGGAGGTCGTTGATTCACATGTCCGATTTTGGCGACATTTTGAAATTAGTAATATGACACTTTATACTAACCTATGGTTTCCGCCGTTTGGCTTCCTTCTACTCATTTTTGTTTAAATTACCTTCACAATGTGTGGCAGACGGGTTAATATTGATCCAAATCTCCACTTTTCATTACATTTTCAAATTAGCATATCATTGTATTGTCACACGGGGAGCTCTTTGAAATTTCAGCCATTCCACTTCTTGTTGCATAAAGAATAACCATCCTTAATGGCAGACGGGAGAAAATCGTTTTAAAAAAATGGTCGTTATGCACCGGTCTATTAATAGTCAATCTCGATGCTTCGCGTTTCAACCTCGTCCGACTATACAGTGTGTCCCAAATTGGTGGTGCATGTATTAGAATATAGGAAACTATAACAGATACGAGGGAGGTTATATGGGAAAAATTTTAGACAATTATGTTAGACGTTTAATAGCGTTCGCAAATTGACTCTAGCTATTCACATTTTTGAGATATTTAGAAAAAACTGAAACGTTGGTTTTTTGAAAATGGGCTGTAAATCTTTTATTTTTGGAAATTTCTCAAATCTGTAAAAACACTTTCAAAGCAACTCTTTGTGCAGAATATGCATGTGTGATTAGATTTTTTTTAGCACGTTTCGGTTTTCTGGAACCATCATCAACTTCATTATTTCTTATAGCCGCCATATTGGATTCTCATACCGTAAAATAGAGTGAAAAAATACAAAATCAATGATATAATACACTCGATCAAAATAATTAATTTTGGTCATAGAAAATACGTTTTTATATTTTGATCAACTTGGCAACGTCGCATTACAGAATACTTAGTACAAGGAAGAAAATTATTTTATAAATAAAAATGAAAGCAATAAAAATCTAAAGGAGTGATGTCAGGAGACCAAGCTTGCCAGGAAATGGACCTCAATTAGCAATTCTCTCTCTAAATGTAAATGTATCATGCAAAAATTCCTGAATTTCTTGGGTATTATGAGCAGGACAGGACAACCGTCTTGTTGAAACCAAACCATATCGAACTGCGCTTCAGGCGTGATGCTGCTATTGAACAAAATTTTAACGAAAATCCGTCATCTTCGACCCGAGAAGCTGATAGAAAACTTCACATACCTAAGTCAACTATTCATAGAGTTTTGAAGCAACATGAATATCTAATATCTAGCCTTCGAGGAGACAGCTATCTGAGGAGGATGGAGGCTCGAGTTTTGTAACTGGTCCTCTATTTAATGGTATGAAAATCCAATATGGCGGCTATAAGAAATAATGAAGTTGATGATAGTTCCGGAAAACCGAAACGTGCTAGAAAAAATCTAATCGCACATGCCTATTCTGCACAAAGAGTTGCTTTGAAAGTGTTTTTACAGATTTGAGAAATTTCCAAAAATAAAAGATTTACAGCCCATTTCCAAAAAACCAACTTTCCAGTTTTTTCTAAATATCTCAAAAATATGAATAGCTAGACTCAATCTGCAAACGCTATTAAACGTCTAACATAATTGTCTAAAATTTTTCCCATTTAACCTCTCTCGTATCTGTTACAGTTTCCTATATCCTGATACATGCACCACCAATTTGGGACACACTGTATGTCTCTCGACAGTAACAAAAAACTTCCCTACTTGGGTCCTTAATCTTGAAACAGGGGAGCAGCGTTCTCAGGAGAACGAGTGTTCCGTCTTTGTTACTCATATTATGAGTTGCATATCGTTGAGAAAGACGGAACACCCGTTCTCCTGGGAACGCTACTCCCCTGTTTCAAGAATAAGGACCTTGGTATGTAATATAGGTAGATACTATTATTATTAAAAAATTAAATAACTAATTTTTAGTTAATAGTGTTCTTGTAAATAAAATAGCATACAAACCTCGAAGGAAAGTTTTCATTTCTGCCTCGAGTTTAATATTCAATCTCGATGCTTCGCGTCTCGTTTGACTATATAGGATCTCGACAGTAATGAAACACTTTCCTACTCGGTTCCGTACTATCAATAAATTTTTTTAAATTCTTACACGTTGATGGTCAGTCCCAATATGGCTCCGCCCAATAAAGTAAGCACAACGAGGATCTTGAGACATGCTTGTGGACAAATATTGCAATGAGGTAAAAACCATCCGGGCTGATACATAGATTCATAGTCGTAGTTGCATTCTAGGCAAGCATTGCAGGAGCATTTGGAACTGCTTGTTCCACTTCCATCAGAATCAATGCTGTCGCTTTCGATATCGTCGTCAAAAAAAGGCATAAAAATGTATAAAAATTGTATAAAATAAAAATAATGACAATGATAATAATCAACGTCAATAATAATTCAACCTATACCATTGTGATAATAAACAAAGGCTCACCAGCAAAATGGAAATAGAAACGTCGCTATCTCTGAACGTCGCCAACAAGAATGCTAAAGTTCTCTGATGGTTCTCTTCATGATCAGGACTAAGGGCCACTGAGGCTGATAACTCACACTTTTCTAGACAAGATATCTATAGAATTCCTCATTAGCTCAAAAAATTTAAAAAAAACTTGGACCGATATCAAGTATCTGAGAGAAATTGGGTAACTTCAATCAACCTAAACATCATGAAGTAAAGTAATTTTTAGTTATTCTGAATTTACAGGACCTGCAAGGAATGTTGACAAGAATTTTTGTTGAATTCCACATTATTCTGTCTAGTTTTATCGCTTTCCACTTTTCTTCCTTTCTTCTGTTTTCGAGTGCCAATCTTTGAAATGCTTAGTTGAATGTCGTTGTAATTAGGTGCAAATGCTTTCTCCGTCAGTCAGATTCTTTGCTAACAGACTGTGATTTTGGTCCAAAATTCACAATAATTGTACCATCTTTTTTTATTTGATAAGTCATCCACACTATACCATCCTTTCTAAGAGTTGAACTGGTTTGCCTATGTCATTTGTTCCTATCTCAGCCATTCAGTGTTAAAATCAGTAAATATGAGGTCTATTGAATTTGTCTTCAATGTCAGTGAGTTTGATTTCTTGATTAGTTGGGCTATGTCCTAAAATTGAGTCTTCGGAAGAATATTTTCTTGGAAATTTTGATCGCCGATCTAGCTTGTCCATTGGATTACGCTTGTTAAGCTACTCATTACATCCGCTTGTCCATTGGATTAAACACTTGTTTAGCTACTCGTTACATTCCCACTGTAACAAGCATCGTGTGACCATTTCCTAGATCTAAATCTGGTTATTGTTACCTTTTAGTAATTGTGGATTGGTTGACTAAATATACTTTTATTAAAAAATTAAAAAAAGGCCATCAGTCGTTAAATATGCAGTTACCTTGCAGAATTTATTTTCAGTTATTTTGGTGTCCCTCAGACAATAATAGTAAACAATAGTAGCCAGTTTACATCAAAAGAATTCAAGTCTCTCTTAAAGGACTAAAATTTCTAATATCTGGTATACCTAATGCAAGATATCATCCACAAACTAATAAAGTTGAAAGTAATCGAGTAATTGGAACAGCAATACGTTCTTATATTGAAGATTCTCAACGTGATTGGGACGTTAATGTTCACAAAATTTGTAATGCAATCAACACCGCAATTCTTCAATTCATGATGTAGTATAACATACCCGGGTTCGTTCAGTGAAATTGAACGATGAGAATTTGTATTACCTTTAAACAACAAATCTTCTGAAAAATGAAATGAAAAACAAATAGGACCTACGTTGTGGAAACTTACTCAATTTTTCTTACTGGACATGCGCCCGACATAGCAAATATTAGGGAAATTTAAGTGAAGTTATTCAATAATTTACGTCAATAAAATTTTAAATTAGGTACCGCCCCTGTTCTTGTGCTAAAATTTCAATTACACACACTACATTCAATCAACACTACCTGTAATCAATACTGAAGAGTTTTTTGTTAGTAAGCCGGTCTGCTGGAAGGTACTGAGGTCCCATACGGGATGCTACCCAGCTATAGTTGTTTTTGAGCCAATATCTCTAATTTTTCCCAATTTGCTAGGATATTCTTTCGTCAGGGTAGGAAAATGTTAGTAAATTCAACAAGGCCCTAATGCACGTTCTGAATCCACAAAATCGAAATCTCAGCACAAAAAGACAGCACATAATTTCTTAGGTTTTAATTTACTTCTTTATCGGTGTTGTTTACAGCAGGAAACGATTTTTGTTAAATACATGAACAATGCACATGTCATAAAAAATATGTTTGACTTTCGTGGGTTAGAGGACAGGACCAAAAAAGAAACTATCAAGCTTTTGGCAACGTTTCGGAATATATTGTTCCTTTTCCAAACCCTAAGCTATTATTTCTGGAGTCCGTTCAGGAAGGATAAAGGCACTTCTCATCATATTTTAGGGGTAGCAATCATTTTTTTTTTCAAAAAAAAATCGTTATTTTGAATTCAAATATGTATTTTAATTAAATATTTGAATTCAAAATAACGTTTTTTTTTTTTTGAAAAAATTTATTGCTACCCCTAAAATATGATGAGAAGTGCCTTTATCCATCCTGAACGGACTCCAGAAATAATAGCTTAAGGCTTGAAAAAGGAAAAGTATATTCCGAAACGTTGCCAAAAGCTTGATAGTTTTTTTTTTTGGTCCTGTGTGTGAAATTGACATAGAATTTCTTATTCAGATGTACCATATTTCCCAATAACAGTTTTCAGTGTTTCATATTTTGTAAGCAGGTGGTTCAGGCACCGGCTTGTTAGATTGTATATTGGAAATCTATTGGTTTTTGTGTTATGTTTAGAATTTAGAAGGGAAAATTATACATTCACTATTAAAATTGTTAAGGTTTAAAGTCAGGCCTATAGTTTATTACAGCAACGCGAGATGTCAATGCTGTCCCCCCTATAGTGTGCCCTAACTTGACTGTCAAAAAAAAATAGAAATCTTCATTTGGTTAAATTGTATGATGGAACGTTTTTTTCTTTTTTTGGCGGAAATTCGAAGTATCATTCTGTTTTACATAAACAGGGTTGTAGTTTCGACGAACGCAAATAATTTTGAACGTTTATCCGTCGAATTTTTTTCTAAACAGTATAGCTACGGGCGTATTTCCAACTATTTTTGCAGTAGCGAGAAAACTACAAGTTCAAAAAATTTGAAAAAAATATATGTCGCGTAGAATTGCAATAGTAGTTCGTAATAAAAATAATGGGAAACTTCATCTATTCGTTTTGAAATAAATGGTGAAAAACTACTTTTTTTTCAGTTTTTGCAATATAACTTAAAAATGGCGAGTCAAATTAACTTAAAAAAGTTATGGATTGAAGTATATCGATAACCATAAAACATATATTTTTTTTGGAATTTTTGAACAGAAGGTTCAGAAAATAGGGGTTGACTTTAAACCTTAATAATAAATCAAAATTGTTGTGAATTGCTTATTATATTAAAGATTCATGTATTTTTTTTTTTGGTATTTTATTGTCTGCTCGTAGGAAAAATTGTGTTCCTAACACTTGCGGAAAGTATTTTTTCCACAATCGATTGCTATCTGGATTTCGCTTCGCGTCGTTCGGCTAACGACAATCGCATATGGAAAAATGATACTTTCCGCACTCGTTAGGAAAATAACTATTTCAATTATGGATAATTTTCCGTTGCTAATTGCAGCATTAGAAGAAGAAAATCGAAGGTAAGGAAGCTCTTTGTTCCTGGTGAGTGGTGAGCTATAAAAAAAACGTAAATTAGGAAAATCAACAAGCAGAATGCCTTGGATAATTATGATCGTATTATACTTTTTAAACTTGAACAGAATGAGAAAAAGAAGAACCTTTGGGAGACAAGCAACCCTCTGGATTTGCCAGAAATAGTATTTTACATTATTAGCCAGGTAAAACAGTTTTTATATAGATAAGTGACGTTTTACAAATGAGTGACAAATAAATATTTTTATTTGTCACTCATTTGTAAAACGTCACTTATCAAGTCAAAACATAAACAACGAAAATTGATTTTTACAAGCTACTGGCTCTACTGACTTGTAAAATTGACAGCTAAACTGTAAAAACTTTTTACAAGTCAGTAGAATTATTTATTTTTAAAAAATCAGTTTTATCACAAGAATAATTGCTTGTAGGTACCTTCTGGTAGACTTTTCTGGTGGTAAACTATTAGCTACGACTGTAGCTTCATTATTAATATCATCTAGCACATTCATTTCTGGAAAAAAATTGCAAAAAATGGAAATCTGTCAGTAAAGCTATTTTTAACTAGAAACAACGACTTAACAACATCTCATTCTCATAGGTATACCAACTACCAACTTGTATCAGAAAAAATTAAGGAAAAACGTATAAATTTCAAAATTTTGTTATGCATTAATTTTTTATTTGTCCCTATATCTTTTACAAATGAGTAACAAATAAATTATTGTACATTATACGCCAGGTAGCAGTTTTAACTGGCTCTTGAAGGTGACAAGCTCGCCTAACGGCTCGCTAGTCATTTCCTTCAATCGCCAGTAAAAACTGTTTTACCTGGCTAATAATGTAAAATACTATTAAAAACATCTACAAGTTTTCAATAAATACTGCAAGATTTCTAATTGAGGAAATTGGGCAATTTCTTCCAGATGCAGGATGCAGATGCAGAACGTCCGCATTGCATCCCAAAATCTGTGATTATTTTAAAAGCATTGCATTTTTATGCTCAGGGCACTTATCAAAAGTCCACAGGACAAGATGTCAATTGCCAATAAATTCAAATAGCTGACGAAGAAATAATATGTTAAATTCCAATCGAAGTAAACAAAATCAGGCACTAGAATAAATAAATAAACTCATAAACATAAACAACAAAATGAAAAGTGAGGTTATATTTTAGAGTTTATTGACAATTTTACAGTGTTGCCGTCTCAACTAATTCAATTAAAGTACAGTTTTCCAATTCCCAACAATCTCGTTTTCAAGGAGTACACGTGAATAAGAAATCTCTTCAATATTAAACTGTCTCAATATCCAATATTGGAAAATTTCAATAAACAAGCGGACACGTGAATAAGGCTGACTATGGAATTATTTCAAATAAAAATCTGTCTCCATACCAATTTCAAGATAGAAATGAATTAGTGTCTGAACTTTCTAAACTTCCTGATATCTATAAAATTGTGGATCAAAATATTAAGAAATCATATGAGTGAAATAAACAGTATTATAACTTGCGTAAGAGACACATTGAGTTTGATGTAGGTGATACTGTGTACAAGCGAAACTTTGTTCTTTCTGATGCTGCCAATAATTTCTCTGATAAGTTATCTAAGAAATATATTAAATGTGAAATACAT